ACTCTGATCATCCCTCCTCAGCCCGCAGCCCTGGCTCTGTCCCCACCTGGATCTGGGGTCACTTTTCATGGGCACTGCCCCTTCTCCTGTTGCTCTGGGGCAGGTGGCTGGCCAGCTAGTGCCCTAGCTTTGCTTCTGACTGGCTGGGTGACCCTAGGTAGGTCTCCCGCCTTTTTGGGGCCACAGTGTCCCCACCTATGAAGAGATTAGGCAAAGTGGTCGGTTATTTCTCAGCAGCCAGGCTTTTCCTCTTTCAGGAGGCGGTGCTGTGCCCCACCCGGGGAGCGGGCCAGGCTGGACAGCGTGGGGGGCGTGCGCCCTGCTCCCATCTCTCTCTGGGGCTCGGTGGGCATCTGCACCCTGAGGCTCTCCCAGTGCCTGGGGCTCTGCTCCCAGCGCCTTGAGGTTGTGTGTAGAACCCCTTCAAGACCAAATAAGCCACTGAAATTTAGACTCAGTACCTCATGGTGAGTCACAGCGTGCAACTCGGTCCACCGACAGCACCCAGGGCTGGGAGCCAGGAGGGACTGGGGTCCCCGACCCAACTGAAAGAATAATTTCCTGTGCAAACGTGGGCACCTCAGTTTCTTCTTCTGCAACATAAGGACACTGTCCTTGCTGGGCTAATGCCAGGGGCAGCTGGGTCCGCTTCCCTCAGGGGAGCCCCTCCCGTCAGGCCTGGCTAGGTAAAGCTTGCTCCAGGAGAAGGGCAAAGTCTGCGACGAAGTTTAAAATTTACAAGAGATGAGTTACCCATGTACAAATCAAAGCACCTCCTTCCGCTGGAGGAAAACAAAGTGTCACATTGTTCTCACGTAGCCTGGCGGGAGGCCATCCCTCCTCCTGCCCCCTGCCCCCCAACGAGCAGGTGCTCTGCAGGAACCATACTTTCTGTTCAGCAGAAAAATCACTTTGCCACTGTGCAATTGACCTGGAAGCCTCAAGGCAGAACCCGCATTGCCATCCAGAGGCCACAAATCATAGCATCCTGATTAGTGGCACCCCAAGGGCTCTCGGCCCTGGTTCTCTCCCTGATCCCGACCCTGGCCTGAGACGGAGCCAGCCCCAAACTTAGCCCTGACCTTGACCCCCAGTCTCAGCTTCAACACTGGTCCACCTAAGACCCCCAAACACATGGCAGGCTGAGCTCCAACCCTGAAGAGAGATTGAGCTCTGACAGTGACCCCATGGAGAACCTAGTTACAGGGTCTGTGTGACAGTGGCCGGTGGCTCCAGACAGCTGGTGCCCCTGAAGAGCCCCAGCTAAGTGGGGTGCCCTCTTGCAGGGCTGAGGATGGGGCTTCTGTCTGTAGGATCCATTCTGAGGCGCCAGGGCCCCTGCTCCTGTGCTAGACGGTTCCTGCCCCTGCGGAAAGGACAGAGTCGGGGAGCAGAGTGAGGGGCTAAAACTTGGCCAGGGATAAGGGTCACTCTGGCCTTGTCCTGAGTACCTTCTGCCTCCAGCTCAGCCCAGCAAGGGATATCTGGCCAAGTATCCAGAAATATCTGCTCCCCAAAGCCCATCACTAGCTACAAGACCCCAGCCCCAGCAACCGGCAAGGCAGCCGCCACCCGGAGACATCAGCCACCGTCAGGAAGGGGCTGCGCTTGCTCAGCAGGACCACCAGGGGGCACCGGACATGGACAGGACGGCAGAGCATCTGTGGCCGGTGCCCTGGGGTTGTGCTGTGGGCTAGGAGCCCCCTGCCTGTGGGACAGACAGACGACCCCGAGGCCTTCAGTGTCCGCCCGGTGGAAGTGAAAAATGAAACACCAGTGACTGCGATCTTTCAAAATTTTTAATTGTACAAGCATAGCACTATTCCTTTTCCTGAACATAGTTTCTTGTAGGTAGCATGGGTCTCGAGTTTTTTCTTTCTTCTTTTATTGATTTCAGAGCGAAGACAGAAGGGAGAGTGAGAGAAAGAAACATTGACCCAGGAATCGAATGATGACCTCCTGGTCCATAGGCCGACGCTCCACCACTGAGCCACGCCCGGTCAGGCCTCAATTATGTTATTTTGAACTCTCTCTTGTTGATATAAATAGATTTAATTCATGCTTTTAAGGCTCTAAGAATCTCACTGTGTGAATATATCACCTTTTACTTAGCTATTCTATTGCTGCTGGACGTTTGTGTTGTGTTTTTTTTTTTACTACACATTATAACCAACGCCGCCCTCTGGGGTAAAGACCCAGCAGAACCTCTGGTCTGTAGGGTATGTTCATTTACAGATTCGACAGGTCATATTACACCGCTCTTCAAAGTGGGTGGTGGGCGTGCCTGCCAGTGTTCACTCTCACCTGCACAGCGTGGAAGTACCATCTCCCCACATTATTTCCGAACATCGTATTACCAGACATTACAAGTTTAGGCAATATGATAGGTGAAAAAAGGGTAGACATTATTATTTTAAGTCTTCTTTTGTTGAGTGTTAGGAATGTTGAGCGTCTCTGTTCATGGGTCTTATATTTTACTTATTTTTTTAATTGTCTGTTTAGGTCCTTTGCTCACTTTCTATTGGTTTATTTTCCCTTTATTATTGATTTGTAGGTATTTTAAAAATATTTTTTGATATTATCTCTTTATTTGCCATTCTTGGTCACAAATATTCTTTCAGTCTGTGACTTGCTTGTAGTTTTACCTGTTTGTCTTTTCTTGAACATACATATTTTATAAAATGTTAATGTGGTTGAACATTAATCTTTTATTTATAGTTTTCCTTTTTTATTTAGAAAGTCTCCTTTCTTCTAAGGTCATAAAAACAAATTTTTATCATTGAGGGGGAAAAAACCTTACTTTATTGTTTTATAGTCAGGGCTTTCAAACTTCTAGGCTTTATAGTTCGTAAATGGGAGCCAGAGATCTAACCTTATTTTTTCCACACAAAGACTTGATTGTTCTGACCTTACTTGCTGATGGCTTATCCCGGTTCTGTATCACCGTTAATAATCGCCCACGGTGGGCTAGGCTCTGTAGGAGGCGTTTTATTTGCTTTTCCTTCACCACCTATTCCATCAACCCTACAAAGCAGGGAATCCTCCCCATTTTTCAGGTGGGGAAACTGATCCTCAGAAAGTTTCAATACCTTGCCCAAGGTTGCATAGCTAGCAGGTGGTGGAGGCAGAACTTGAACCCTGAGTAGACACAGGGATAGTTACAGATGGGAATTCAGTGACCCTTCCCTGTTCAGAGGGGACAGTGGGCCAGGGGGAATCCTTGGGGAACATGAACGGTTAGATCAGGGTTTCTTAACCATAGTCCCATTGCCCTCGTGAACGGGATCATTTGCTCTAAGGTGTGGGGGCCCGTCCTGTCCAGTGTAGCGTGTTTAACAGCGTCCCTGGTTACTACCCGTTACACATCAGTAGCACCTTCCCACCCCTCCTTGACCTTGGCCCCTGGCTGGGATAATGCAAACTGTCCCCAGGCATTGACAAATGCTCCCTGGGGGATACATCGTTCTGTTAAGAACCACTAGTTCAGGTCATAATAATTATTATGATACATTGTTATGATAATTATTAGGATCTGACAATAATATCAATTAGTAACCATCATTAATGCGAATGACGCTGACAGTAATGATCAACAGTGATGAATAACATTTGTCCTTGGGCTCTTGCTGCTTCGTAGCTGAAGGACAGAGGTTCTGGCTTTTTCTCTAAGCGCACCTTCTCAGGGCTCTGCTCTCCCTGCCTGGAGCCCCCGGCCTGCAGCAGAGGCGCTCGCTGCGCGGGTCCCCGCCGCGGGCCGAGCTCCGTGCGTGTGCAGCCTGTCCGCATCCTGTTCAAGCCTGTGCCGGGCCGGGGGTCTGGGGCTTGGGTGGCTCATGTTTTCTTTTCAACTTACTTTTCTTCACACCTTGTTGCCGATGAGGACAGGTGGAAACATAAAACCCTGCTGATGCAAACCGGTTACTGGACCCAGATGTGGCGGGGGCGGGGGCCTCATCATTCATGGCTCGTGTCAGCTGTAAACATGTCTAGAGTCACCTGCGTCCAGCCCAGTGAGCTCTGGGGACACCAGTGTCAGCACCTCCCAGGCCCTGGGCCATTGCAATGCGCTTTCAAATCCCCAAATGCTGGGCAAGACTCAGGATATTCAGAACACTGCCTTTAGCTGGTCAGCTCGGCTTCCACGTTTTAAGGTGTAAAAGTGTAATAAAAATGATCAGGTAACAAATGTGAAAAATAACTTGAGGGGCTGTGCAGTCCTCGCATCTCCGCCGCTGAGAACGGTCTTGCCCCGTTGGGCATGGCCGGTGCACGAAGGGCTGTGTGAATACCTTTCAGCCTCATTTCTTCCTGTGGCCACGGAGACTTCTGGAAAGACCCTGACCAGTGCCCCCTCAACCCCCATGAAGCCCAGAGCCCTGACATCTGCAGCCTTCCCCTCACCATCCCACCTGGCATCCTTGTGGGGAAAGAAACCAGGTCCTGCCGATATGACACCTGCTTGGCCCGCCCTTGCAGGTGCGTGGTCACCCTCCTTTCCTCAACTCATCTTCCTCTCCAGAGACCCCACTGACACCCTATCCCACCCAGCCTGGGTCCCCATAGCCCTGAGCCCACCCTCCAGCCCTGGGATGAGGCTGGGATCACCAACCAAGCTGGGAGCTCCCTGAGGGCTGGTCCATGTCTCTGGCCTCTTCTCTGAGTCTCCTTGTGTGTGTGTGTGGGGGGGGCGTCTTTCCACAATGGGCCAGCAGAGTGGTAAAGAATTGACCTCTGGGGCAAGAAGTGTCCTGTAGTTGTCACCTCCCTGGGCCCTCACTATCAGGACAGACACCCGTGTTGACTTACAAACAGAGAGGAAGGAGGTGGAGGGGCTCAGCCCCTCCCAGCTGGGGACACGGAGTCCCACACCAGGGCTGGGGCAGAGCTGGGCACAGTGTCCTACAGTCCTGGTGAATATTCAGCTGGTTCTGTCCCTTCTTTTGGCTTCTGCCTACGCAATCAGCTGCCTGGAAAGGGACAGGAGAGGGCCAGGGCTCCGCGAGGCTGGCTGAGGGAGCCCTGCTGAGCTCCCACCATGGACAGCAGGACGTGGGGGGCCTGTATCCTCTGCCTACTGAGCCCATTACCAATTGTGAGTAGCCAGTTCAGATCCTCCTGCTCTGGCTGGGCTCCGGACCCAGGAGCCATGGGGGCATAGGGGGTCCAGCTAGAGCCCAGGGGGTCCCCACTGCCCTTCCCAACTGTAGGAGTCTCTCCCCAACAAGCAGGTGGCACCGTGGCTTGGAGAACTCTTGATACCTGTGGCCCCTTCCCTTCCCTTCCCTTCCCTTCCCTTCCCTTCCCTTCCCTTCCCT